TGTTGCAAAATTTATATTAAATATTGGTCAAATAAGGTAAGTGTAACATGTGACACCCTTACTACCCCAACACATATATTGTAATAATAAAACTAACAAATAAATTTTTAATCGTCGGTAAAAGGGTTCACATAAAAACCTTCACAAATGTTCTTCAATATTCAAGATGATTGAAAATAAAACTTGGAAAGTAAAACTTAAGAGTTTACAAATTATTTTCAAAATAATAGATACAACTCCAAATCTATATAAAAAAAACTCATGCCCTAGAAATCCTCTGCCCCGATGTCACAATATCAGAGCATACCCATAATTCAATTGTTGACATTCTAGATGCCACTCATAGCTAGATCTTCCTCACCTAAAACATCCAGAAATTGTACAGTGAGAAAAGAAAACATCTATATGTAAAGCACATAAGAAAAACACAACATAATCCCATCTTTACTCATTACTTAATGAAATATTCACAAGCATTTATATATATCATAATTTATCAATCATGCATCATCTTCACGTAATAACTCGCAATCACACCATTATATATATATATATATATATATATATATATATCATAATTTATCAATCATGCATCATCTTCACGTCATAACTCACAATCATACCAATTCATCACAAATCTTGTAATTAAGATTATCATTTTCACATTCATAATTCACACAAATCTTACAATTAACACTATGTCAAGGCCACGCCACAACTGACATAAGTGATACAGGTTAATTGCCTCACTCATCCCACACCATGCCAGGGTCACGCCCTCCCTGTAACATCACTTACCTAGGGGTCGTGCCATCCCTGATCATTGATGTGAGGAACCACAATCACATCACAATCCACACAATCTCTTACAATTAACCCTATGCCAGGACTGTCATATTTGACATAAGTGATACGTGTTAATTATCTTACTCATCCCACACCATGCCAGGGTCACGCCCTCCCTATAACATCACTTACCTAGGGGTCGTGCCATCCCTGGTCATTGATGTGAGGAACCACAATCACAATCATAATCATATCCATACAACATCTCATCTCATAGCACAATTCCATATCACATACACAATTCTATATCTCATACACAACAGATAAGTCCAACAAAATAAGGGTTTACACACCCCTCAAGCAATTCACATCTAGATCATCAATTCTTATCAAGTAATATAACAATAACATTCATAAATTGATATAACAATCAATGGAATTACCAATTTAATATAATCTTAACATAACGGTAAAACTTCCAATTATTCCAAAAACTTAACTCACAGACACCTTTCTACAATTTCGTTCTCTCTCCTAGATCATCATTCTTACAAATTATTAGCATATTTCTAATCCTCAACACATACAGAATCTAATGGGATCATCTATTCCTCAAACAGAAATAATTCAATTTTCCAAAACCTAACTTACAGGCACTTTTCTACAATTTCGTTCTCTCTCAGATCATCATTCTTGCGAATTAAATATATATTTCTAATCGTTAACACATATAGAATTTAATGGGATCATCAATTTCTCAAAACAGAAATAATTATAAAATTACTCATAATCTTAAGGGACTGTTCATCTACCCAATTCCGTCATGTAACTCTACATACAAGTAATCCCTTTTTCCCCCGTACCTTGATATGTAGAAGCTGAACCTACACAAGATCTAGTTGGTCTCCCTCGCTGGGTTCCCCTCGGTCTGAAGCAGAAAGTAGAGGGAAATAAGAGAGAGCAGAAGAAAAGAAATCAGAAAATGAAAGGTGTGCTTTTTGGGAGTGGTAGAGAGCTCAATTTATCGGCATCAAGCTTATCCGGAATGGCCCGTTCTAGACCCTTATATCACGACTAAAAATCACATTCAGAACGGCCCGTTCTCAAACCAGAACGGCCAGATCTGGGGTGCATTTAATACTCACAACGGTCATATTTTGGAACGGCCCGTTCTCAACTCTGGAACGACCCGTTCTCAACTAAGAATCGTAGGCAAATTTAATGGTTTGGAACGGCCCGTTCCGGGCTACCAAAAGTAGGTCTATTTAGTAATTTGGAACGGCCCGTTCCAATTTTGGAACGGCCCGTTCCGAGCTACTAAACCACCTTAATTGGGCTCTTGGCCCAGTAAAAATTGGGCTGTTACATAACATGTTCGGGACAAGGAAGAAAAAAAAATATAGAAACAAGAATTAAGTACATGCATGCAATCATAAATATTCTCTTGTCGGTACGTTTATATGTTGCAAGTCTATCACTATGCAAACAGACAAATATCTATAAATTGGATAAGTCATAGAGTAACTAAAGTTTGAAAAACTTGTTACTTCTTCAGTAATTGGGTATGTCACACCTACATTAATGAGTTTTACTAATTTAACCCCCTCAATTAGTATGAAAAGAGGTTTGAATGAAGAACTCAACACAAAGAGAGGAACATTCTTCCTTTTGTTTTGAACTTTTCTTTCTTTACATTTTGTAAGGCACCTAAGGAGATGAAGTTCAGTTAAAGGAACATTATAGGTAGGGGAGGAAACATCTATCAATTTTTTAAAAAAGAAATTATAACTATGGTTACTTAGTGGGGTGTCTCTAACCTCATCTTGTTTCTTTATTATTTTTACCTAGCTAATGTTATTATACTATTTAACCATTACTATTTTTTTTTACATCTTATATGTGTTGTTGGTATGTTTTATAAGTCATTTTGATAAATAAATTTTGATTTACACATATTTCATTTAAAAGTTTGTTTCCAATTATTTAACACAATAATATTAAGATCATTTTTATTAATTTTGATATTATATTATACTTGAAATATATATATATATATATATATATCCTCTTCTCTTTATGAAACATTATTGGAACTAAATATATACAATTATGTATATAGTTTAATAATAATAATAATAATAATAATAATAATATTATATAGTAATATGTTATTATTTTGTTTTAAGATTATTATAATTAATAATATGTTATCTAAGTAATATTAAACACTACAAAACCCTAAATTAATGAGCTTGGATAAAAAAAAATGAGTTTGAATTCATTTGTAGTTGAAGGTTTGACCTTTAGAATTTAAATGAGTATAAATTTGATTAAGGAATAATATCCTTAATTTCTTATATTATTGAAACTATGGTAACTCATTTATCTCGACTAGTCACTACAAATTTATAATTCAAATATCTCCATGGAGTAAAAATTTAAAATTAATAACTAAAATGCACAACTAATATGTATGCATGTGTTTATGTATTATTTTTATGTAAATACTTGATTTATATGATATATATTTTCACTCGTTTTATGTTTTTTTTAAATAAAAAAATAGTATACATATTTAATTAGATGGATGCACTAGATTTACCAAGACCTTTTACGATAGTGATACAAGCTACTTTTCTGGGGACTAGCTGGAACACTAACATTATCAACAATGTGATGACTTTTAGTGAAGTAGGAGTATCTTCCTTGGTGTTTTTCCCTCAACAAGGAGAACCTTATGTAATAGAAGGACCAATATTAGTCATTTTTTCTCCATCCCACTAGTCATGAAAATCCAATTGCATCTATGTTTCTACCATTCATATAAAATAAAATAGTAGAATATTATGAAAAAAAATGAATATAAATAATTTTTTTCCTACTATCTAGAGTATAGGATGGATATAATATTAGTAAGTTGTAAAATATAATTTATATAAAGATAATAGCCATATGAGTGTTGTTTGTATTATGGTATTAAATTTTATTTAACTTTCACAAAAAAAATTTATATAATAATTAAGTACAATAATTTGGAGTGTTCCAACTTTTAAATCCTAGAGAAATTTAATTGACTCCATAAATTTAATTGAAATATTCTTTTTGTTACAAAAGGTTTAGATTAAGATAAGATAGATACAAGACTAGAATTAACTACTAACCCTTTTGAAAATTTTTAGTGAAATTATGAATCATATATCTTATTCTCAACACATATCCACATAAAAAGATATATAATATGAAAGAAATCATATTCAATTTCAAATCCTACGTAATATAAGAGTAAAGGGACTTAACACTTTTTCATATGTTATTTTTAATTAAACTTTTATATACTTGAACAATTATAATACGTAAAATATATCATTTAAGATAAAACAATGTGTAAAAAATATGTGTATACATCCATCCATTACCATTAACATTAATATGTGAGATCCAATCATTTTAAAAAATTAATGAGATTTTTGTTTCATGAAATGATATAATATTCTCATAAATTATATTTTTAGGAATAATATAATCAGAAATGTCATTTTTAAAAATATTTCAAAACATGCTTAGTTAAATTTAAACATTTGTAAAAAATATTTTTAAATTTAAAAAATAAAAATAAAAGTTAGACCGAAAGTTCTGACTTTAGATAATAACCTCCGACATCTTCATAAAAATATAACTTTTTCACCATAATAATAAAGATGACTTATATCATAACACAAAAATAAACTATATCTAAAAATATATTTTTAAAACTCTTAATAAACATTTGGGAAACAGTGTCTTAATAAACATAAAATTATACATTTGTAAGCTAACATTTCAGAAAAAGTGTCTTAATCCGTAAAGCAATCGGCCTCTCGAATTTTGATCTACTAGAATTTGCAATTTAACTGCAACCCATGCAGTTATAATCCATGCATAAGTATTGGTAATTAAATTATGCTTTATTTTAATTAAAAAATATTTCAAAGGTTTTGGATCTTTCCAGTTAAAACTTTAATATAAATTCATAATATACTTCCAAAAAAAAATCAATGACACTCTGTCATAATATCCAAAGCAAACGAATATTGAAAATCAATCCATTCAATATCGACATCCATTAATTGTCACTGCCATGAGAGAAACTAGATCTTAATATTTAAAAAAAGAAAAAGAAAAAGAAAATAATAATAAAAAAACCAGAAACACATGGTTTGGTTCCTTATGAAGCTTGGGTACACAGCGCGTGTCACTTCTACTGAGAAAAAGTGAGAAACACAAACACAAACACAGACACCAACCTCAAACTTCACACACAACCAAAATCCACACTTCTCTTCTTCCATTCTCTCACGCTATCACCATCTACACAGTGTCACGTCCATCAACGGTGAGCTTCTCCTTCTCTCTTTGAATCACCGTTTTCTTTGCATCATGTTCGTTAAAGGGTCGCAAAAAATTGAGATTTTTTTCCACCCCTTCTTCAACTGAATCTTAAAAGCTTGCCATTTGACGCTGGAACCAAAGAAAAATGTTGTTTTTTTGTGAATACGACGTTGTCCCTTCTCTGATCTCCTTTTTGTCTCAACTAGTTTTCAATGATGTCCTTCTGGATCTGAGACCCCTCTCTGGATCTGTTTGTGATGGATGTGAAAAATAGAATTTGATGATCTTCTTCTTCTCTCTCTCTCTCTCTCTCTCTCTCTCTCTCTCTTTCTGGGGAATAGAGGTGAAAGGTGTGTTGCATTTTGAAATCTTATTGGTGAATGATTGAAGTTCAATTTTATTTAGATCGATAATGGAGTGGCTGATGTGGCTGCATCCAACCGTGATCAATGAATTTAGTCTGTTGTTATGGCCATCCGTCACTTAGTAAATCAAAATCAGAATTTGAATTTACAATTTTTGTTCAAATGGGTTGTAACGTGTTCAAAATTTGGTGTGTTAAATCTATTGGTTTCTCGCAGATCTGGTGCTAATTTTGAATAACAATGTTTTCTTATGATGAACTTCTGTATGTTAAAAGTAAGGATATCATGACTATGAGCGGTTGAATTGAAAGCCACTGTGGACAAGGTTTTAAAGATGTGGTGTGATTTTGGCAATGAGAGTTATCCTTCGTGTTGTTCTTTAAAGATTTAGTCGTTAAGTTGACCAATAGATAGTATAGTTGTTCGTAGGTGGCAATTTACTGAGTATGAATGAGAAAATGGAGGTGTGATGTCACATGAATCTCCTCTAAAGATAAGATTTGGTTACTTAGTTTTAATATTTATATCTGAAATAGTGATTCTTAAAGTATCATGAGTCTTGGCTGTACCTTATGCATATCATTTTTTAGGCAAGTCTGATTGAACACTCAGTTCTAGTCTGGAGTAATTCACTTATTGTCTTGGTGTCAAATTTCTACCAAAGTAGACCTTTCCTCACCCATAAGAGAAAGCAAATGGGGTAGATGCTAGAGGTTATACATTGAGGTTTTACATTAATTGTTGCTAGTTTTGTAAATAAATTACCAGAAGGTTATTGTTAAATATTTTGAGATGAATGATCTTTCGCTTGTCAGTTTCTGACCCTTTTGATTGTCATAAGATGATTTTAGGTTACAGACTTGCAGTTGTTTTCTAGAATGATTGATTGTATTAATAATTTAATTTAGATCTTAAAATTTATTCACCTTCCAGTTTTCCAGGTTTTACTTGCTGGATGAACTGACTGCCATATGTCATTTTAATGTGGATAGAGTGCTATGGAGTTTAGCTAGGAAGTGCCAGAGGTAAAGTTGTGAGAAGCAGAGAGAACATGGCTCCGGCTAGCAAGGCTGAGAAAAAGGCTGCAGTGGATGCAGCTGCATGGATGTTCAATGTCGTTACATCTGTTGGAATTATCATTGTAAACAAAGCTTTGATGGCCACTTATGGCTTCAGTTTTGGTAAATTCCTTTTTCAGTTTCTTAATGACATTTATGTTATGGGTCTACTTGGTCTTTCCACCAGGTAGTATATGATCATGCCTTAATGTTAATTTCTTCTCATTTAATGCAATTTATCTATTACTGCTTGCAGCCACAACATTAACAGGCATGCACTTCGCTACCACAACTTTGATGACAGCAGTACTAAGGATGCTGGGATATGTCCAACCTTCTCATTTACCCTTGACAGATCTTCTAAAATTTGTTCTCGTTGCTAACTTCTCTATTGTTGGAATGAATGTTAGTCTAATGTGGAACTCAGTTGGATTCTATCAAGTGAGTTGGTCAGAGCTTTAGCTATTGGTTATTGGTTCATTAATGCCTTCAGAAGTTATATTTACTTTTTAACCATTGGCAGATTGCTAAATTAAGTATGATCCCTGTATCCTGCCTTTTGGAAGTTGTTCTCGACAAGATTCGGTATTCAAGAGACACAAAACTGAGCATAGGTGTCGTTCTTTTGGGTGTTGGCGTTTGCACTGTTACTGATGTGAGTGTTAACACAAAAGGATTCCTTGCTGCCTTTATCGCAGTATGGAGCACTTCCATGCAACAATATGTACGTATGACATTCCTCTACATGCCATGGATTTGCCTTCAAATTTAAGTGACACAGTTAACTCAAATAGATTTAAACAGACACCTGCATGCACAACTTATTTCAGCCTGCTCTTTACTTGTGCGTTAATTACTGTCTTAACATGAATTATATCTTATGGTGCTCATGGATTTTCAAACTTTTTATGTGCAGTATGTCCATTTCCTTCAACGGAAGTATTCTCTAAGTTCTTTCAACCTATTGGGACATACAGCACCTGCACAAGCTGCATCACTACTGTTATTAGGACCTTTTCTAGATTATTGGTTGACAGACAAGAGAGTTGACAAATTTGAATTCAACACTGCCTCTTTGGTAAGTTCTGGACAATGGAAAAAAATATTGATGTTAAAATAAATATTTAGAAACTACATCATTCGGTCTCTGTCAAAATGAGTATATGCATATGTATATTTACATGGATGTGTATATTATAATAGATGGCTTGATATGTTAAATAAATTTTGATTTGATAATTTGACCTACAAACTTATCCATATACTTGTGCATGCATATGATGTATGAGAGTTTTGTTTGCAGGCCCAAGTCTAAACTCTATATACATGACTTATTTGGACATTTGTCTATGTAACCAACTTACACATGTGCCTGGGCTGTTCCGTATTCTTTTTACATTGATTATATACTGCTACAAATTTGTTTGGATCTTTATTTTCAAAATAAAAATCTGTAGCTACTGTAAATGGATTTTGTTACTAGTATTACTTATGCCAATTGATTAAGTCTATGCTACAGGGCCTCTCAAAGACTATATATTTAGTAATTACAACAACAAACAAAGCTCTGTCCCACTAGTTGTGGTTGTCTATGTGGATCAAACAACCATTATGTTCTGTCAAAAACCAATTTTTCAGTGAGATCATTTAGATCTAAATCCATTTAGTTGGTTTCACTTGGAGTTTTTCTTGGTCATCCTCTACCCCTAATTATTGGGCTATCATCAATCTGATCACCCTTCTAACTGGGTCTATTGTCTTCTTCAACGTGTTTAAAATTCACCTTAGGCATGATTCTACTGATTTTTTCTCAACAGGTGTCACTCTTAGTTAATTTTGGCAGCAATTGTTCAAATTAAGTGGTACTTCTCTACACATGTCTACTGCCTACCACCCACAGTCAGATGGCCAGTTTGAATCATTGAACAAGTGTTTGAAAATGTACTTGTGATGTTTCACTTATGACTCTCCTAAAGATTGGGCAAGGTTGTTGCCTTGGGCAGAGTATTGGTATAACACTTCATATTATCATAGTAGTGACATGACTCCGTTTAAGATTGTCTATGGCAGAGATCCTCCTACATTGGTTAAATACACCCTTAATCAGAGTGATCCTACTTCAGTTCAAGAACAATTACTGCAAAGGGACTTGACACTTAGCAGATTGAAATTTAACCTCCACAAGGCTCAACAGTACATGAAGAAACATGCTGATAAGAAAAGGAAGTCAATGGAATTGCAAATTGGTGACATGGTTTTTGTCAAATTACAGCCCTAATAACAGTACAAGTGTTATTAGACAGTGGCTCGAGTGATAATTTTTTACAACCAAGAATAGCTCATTGTTTGAAGTTGCCTATTGAGCCAATTCCAAATTTTCAAGTTCTGGTGGGAAATGGTAATGCCTTAGTTGCTGAGAGGTTGGTCAAGAACATAGAAGTCAGAATTCAGGGCCATTCATTGACCTTTCCAGTGTATTTATTACCTGTTACTGGGGCTGACTTAGTGTTGGGGGCTGCATGGTTAGCTACTCTTGGTCCCCACATTTCAGATTATAGCAACCTTACATTGAAGTTTTACCTGGGAAACCAATTTGTCACATTGCATGGCAAGCAACCAACCTTACCTTTGCAAGCTCAGTACAATCATATGAGAAGAATGAATCACACACATGCTATAGCTGAGTTATTCACATTACAATTTCAACAGTCGGATTGTCCTCAAGACCAATGGTTAGATTTACCTACTGATATGGAACCGGAATTAGTGGTGTTGTTGCATACTTATAGGGTGGTGTTTTCTATACCTTATGGGTTGCCTCCTAGTAGATCACAGAACCATTCTATTCCTCTATTACAAGGATCTGAACCAGTGAAAGTCAGGCCATACAGGTATCCACATAACCAGAAACAACAGATTGAGATTATGGTTCATGATATGTTAAAGGAGGGGCTTATTGTCCCTAGCACTAGTCCTTTTTCCTCTCCAATAATTCTTGTCAAGAAGAAAGATGGAACCTGGCGATTCTGCACTGATTATAAGGCCTTGAATGCTATCACTGTTAAGGATAACTTCCCTATTCCGACTATTGATGAACTAATTGATGAGTTACATGGGGCTAAATTTTTTTCTAAATTGGACTTGAGATCTAGGTACCACCAAATATTGGTTAATGAAGAGGACATGTTCAAAACTACATTTAGAACCCATCAAGGTCATTACGAGTGGACAGTGATGCCATTTGGTCTCACTAATGCGCCTACAACTTTTCAAAGCTTGATGAATGAAATTTTCCAAGGCTTGTTGAGGAAATCTTTTCTTGTATTTTTTGATGATATTTTAGTATACAGCTCTTCATGGTCTGCTCATTTACATCATCTTGAGGTCGTATTGCAGAAATTACAACAACATAAACTATTTGCCAAATTGTCTAAATGTTCTTTTGGACTTCAGCAAGTAGATTATTTAAGCCATAATGTTTCAGGCCTAGGGGTGGCGTTGGACAAGAGTAAGGTGCGAGCTGTTCTGGATTGGCCATGTCCAAAAAACTTGAAGCAATTGAGAGGATTTCTTGGCCTTACGGGCTATTATAGAAGATTCATCAAGCAATATGCAGTGGTGGCTGCTCCTTTCACTAACCTATTGAAAAAGGACAATTTTAAGTGGGACAATTCTGCTCATGCTTCATTTGCAACTCTGAAAACAACAGTCACTCAGGCACCCGTTTTGGCTTTACCCAATTTTGGTTTTGGTAAACCATTTGTTTTAGAAACGAATGCTTTAGGAGTGGGTATAGGTGCAGTTCTTAGTCAAGATCATCATCTTATTGCTTTTTTCTCTAAGAAACTGTCTGCTTCAATGCAAAAAAAATCTGCCTATACTAGAGAATTTTATGTTATCACGGAAGTTATTGCCAAGTTTCGCCATTATCTGCTTGGACATAGATTTGTGATTGGAACGGATAAAAAAATCTTGAAGAGCTTAACTGAACAAGCTATTCAAACCCCAGAACAACAGAAGTGGTTGCACAAACTATTGGGATATGATTTTACCATTGAATATAAGCCTCGGAAGGACAATATTGCTGCAAATTCACTGTCTAGATCATATTTTATGGCTTGGTCTCAACCTAATTTACAAATTTTGCCTGCTTTGAGGGATGTTGTTTCTAAAGATACTCAATTAAAGGCTATTCTAGACTTGTGCTTGCTTAATAAGCCTCCAAATCCTCATTCAGTGCATGATAAATTGCCTTTCTGGATGGGTAGACTGGTTATTCCCAAATCTCATGATCTGGTTAATCAGATTTTGCATGTGTTTAATAGCTCCTTGATTGGAGGGCATGCTGGTTTTACACGGACATTGGCTAGAATTTTGGCTCAATTTTATTGGAAGGGTATGAACAAAGATGTTAAGCAGTTTGTTCAAACTTGTTTGGTTTGTCAACAAGCAAAATCTGCTCACACTTTACCTGCAGGTCTATTACAGCCACTCCCAATTCCAGAACAGATTTGGGATGACATAGCTATGGATTTCATCATGGGCCTTCCTTCTTCAAATGGCCTTCCTTCTTCAAATGGCTTTACTGTCATACTCGTTGTAATTGATAGATTATCAAAGTATGGCCACTTTTCTACCTTAAAGCCTGATTACTCTAGCAAGTTAGTGGCAGAGGTTTTTATCAAAACTGTGTTTAAACTGCATGGCATGCCTAAGACTATAGTTTCTGATAGGGACAAAGTATTTCTTAGTTAATTTTGGCAGCAATTGTTCAAATTAAGTGGTACTTCTCTACACATGTCTACTGCCTACCACCCACAGTTTCCGATACATTATTTGTATCTCGATTCAACTACCATGGTCACTCCTACTTTCTCTCCAATTCATTTTTTGATGCAACATTCTTAGCTTCAGAATACTTCTGCTTTTGCACTTGTTGGCTCTTATCATTCAGCATTGCTTGTCTTATGAATGTGACAGTGATAGAACCCAATTCATAGTAGCAAATCTAGTTTATGACTATGTCATTTGAATTATGTTATCATAGTTTATCTTTAGGATTATCCATTTAATTTGTTATCATAGCTTATCTTTAGGATTTATCATTTGAATTCTGTTATCATATCTTATCCTTAGGATTAATTTAGGATTACGAGTCTATTTAAATAAGCGCTTTTAATAGCTATTCTACTAAAAATAAAGAATATTTTTTTGTAGAAAAACTCTAAAAGAACTTCTAAACTTGTATCCAAATAAACTCTATGTTATCTGAATTCTGTTATCATAGCTTATCTTTAGGATTTATCTTCTTTTATCAAATTTAGTGAGTTAGTTGAGGGAGATGATAAATATTGAGTAGTTTGAGAGTGTGAGAGAGAGAGAGAGAGAGAATTTTGGAGAATTATTATTGAGTTGTATTCGAAGCTGGTGCTCTAGGAGAGCGAGGCAGTAGATTAATCTGCTTCTATTTGAAATAATAATACCCACCCATTTTTGGGTTTCCATCAGAGAATGTGTAGTAAATTTTATTTAGTTGAGGAAGCACCTCTCTATCACATATAACACTTAGAATCTTATGATCTACATCGCTCCCTGTTTCTTTGTTACCTTGTATGATAGATCAAGGATACCTAAACTGTGTGACATGTGGTATTGTGTGATTTCCCATTTTCATCTCCAAACTATTCCCAGTATGTATTTTACTAAATCTTGCAATTTCTACACTTTATTTTACTTCTGCTTAAATGGAAGCCACATGACTCCAAATTTCCCCTTCATATTCTTGTTTACTATTTATTCCCTTTTTTTATTCTCCCGCTAGAGTTACAATATTTGTATAATAAACGCATTCAGCACTGAGTTCCTGGTTATGTTGAGCAAGAATGACCAAAACCAAGGCAAAAAGTTAAGGCTTTAGGTTGGCCATTGGTGTAAGCCACACAACATGTTTGCACATTCCTTAATTATAAGGAACGCAAACTCCTTTTTTCTCATGTGCCTTTTCAAGACTTCTGTGGACACCCTATCATTGGCCTTTTCCAGATATATGAAAACCATGTGTATCATTGGCCTTTAGGTTTCCTATGATGCTTTTCCATCAATCCTTGCCAATGGTATATTATTTCTTTAGTAACTATTGTATTTTAATTGAACATGAAGCTTACAGTTATAGCTCTCCACCAACATTTTTTTTCCTCTCCAAATTTTTATCATGCAATTATCTTTTATTTGGTCAAATTTAATTAAATTTCCAGTCATTACGATCACTTAAATAATTGAAGGGAGTTTTTCCCAATGGATATTATAATCACTTTGGGCAAGTGGAAGTTAGTAAATATGTTTAACATATGATTTTCATAGAAAGACCAATCAGATTTTCATCGATTGTTTATAACTTTTTGAGGGGGGTAAATCAACATAATTTGATGCTATAATGACAAAAGTGAAGCACAAGTTTGGGGAACAAATGAGAAGAGTCCAAATTGAAGAACCTAATTTAGTTGTAGACTCATAAGTATTTACACTGCTCAATCAAAATGTAGATAAACATGATCAATCATGAGAACTATACATGACTTTTTGTTACTCTTGGCTGTATTATGTTGGTTGATATCTTGTCAACACTTTCACTGAGTGACTGACTCATCTTTCTTTGTCTTTACTTTGGCAGATTTTCATAATTCTGTCATGCACTATTGCAGTTGGCACCAACCTAAGCCAATTTATCTGCATCGGCAGATTCACTGCAGTTTCTTTCCAAGTACTGGGGCATATGAAGACAATACTTGTCTTAATCATGGGGTTCTTTTTCTTTGGTAAAGAGGGTCTCAATCTCCAAGTGGTTTTTGGAATGGTCATAGCTGTGGCTGGAATGATTTGGTATGGCAATGCCTCATCCAAGCCTGGTGGAAAGGAACGCAAGAGTCACTCTCTTCCTACCAACAAAACAGAAACAAGATAGTTTAACAGCAATATTCACTAATTTTTGTTGTTTTCAAGTGCAGTGGCTTTATTTGCCAAAGTTGAGGAGCATACAAAGATAGCCGATTCTAGGAAAGTGTTTTAAGTTTATTTGAAATTAAACCTCATTGGTTCTAATTATTTTCAACCTCATTTTGTAATTCATAAAATTTGATTTCTTGTTATGGATTCTTAGGGCCATTGGATGTGTCCTTATAGGTCTAGGTTCCCAGCAAAAATTTTCATCTTTTGCATGATTAGATGAATATATTTATATTCTTTCTTGACTCATTATTTGAAACTTGTACTTTAGTAGTGTGCAGTGAGATTGATTCAGTAATTCATGTGTGAAGTGTGATGATGTGGTTTAGGATTCTCATCTTTGATAAGGTACAGGTGCTGTTTAATCCTCAGATCAGAAGAATTGCCTAGGAAAATGTCTCTAATAAAGCAAATCTTTTGTAAGACATAATAGCATTTTTTTTTTCATCTTAGCTTTTAGTTTTTTGGTGGGATTGAGGTATCTCCATAAGCTTTGATCATCTGGATTAGTTATAAGACTAATTTTTTATCTGACTTAATATCACTTAAAACTCCTTGTCTCTTTCCAAAGATGTATTATGAGACATAATAGCATTCAAAATTTTATGCATTTAATCAAAGGTTCATCCGTATTTATACTTAGAAGGGGGATGATTTAATTTTGCTTTATTTATTTAACATTTAAAGCTTGATTAACTTTTTCTCCATATTATACATCGACTTTGGTTTTAGACTCTAGAAGAATTTCATGTTGATTCTGATCCTTTGTTAAATATGATAATAGTTTTTGTCATCGATAGAGTTTAGTGATGACATGAATAACCAATTGAAAAATATCTTAAACAATATGGGCTAAAATGAAAAAAAATTGTATCAATAGTTTAAGATTTGATAGGAATTAAAACAGTAACATGGGATACTAAAATCAAAGAAAAGAAATGATAGAACCAACCCAACAAGAAATATTTTAGGGACTAAAAATCAAAATTATATATATGAAACTGAAAAGTTAATTATGCTTAACTTTAACTACAATGCAAGACCACTTTTTTCTTCTAAGACTATGCTAGACATTTTCAAACCTACTTAGTTTTCATCATTTAATTACAATTTTGCATACTTCATTTTGTGCCACTTATATGATGGATCAACCATCTAGATGCATGTGAAAGATTGGGGGTAAGGATTTGAACTTAGTATTTTTCATTGGGATCGAAGAGGAGCAAAACTTGGATTAGCTAGCTTACCGCTAATGCAATATTTTATGCTCCTTTTGATCTCTGTAATAAGGTACTTTTATCTAAATCACATTAATGTAGTTATGTTAGCTGATTTTGGCTTTGTTTATTTGAATTTTTTTTTCTTATAAAAGTGCTTTTTAAAAAAAATAAAATAAACGTTTTTTTTTTTTAATTTTTAATGTGTTGGTCTAATTATTTTTTTTAAATAAGCAATTTTATTATCTTTTTTTGAGAAGCAACTTCCATCTGCTTTTTGAAGAATTGTTTTTTTTAAATAAAAAAATACTTGTTTACAAATGCTTCTTTTTAAGTTTAAACAAACATGTTTTATTAGGCTTATACTAATTTTACTTTTTTAACTTACCATTAATTTTTTATGGGAGGCGTAAAAATATTATTTTATATCGAAGTTTATGCATCAATATCAATACATTAATAAATGATAATTGCAAAAGAGAGAACATTTATTATAAAAAAAATTCTCATTATTCAACCATAAGAAACACATATTTTAATAAATTTTGATAGGTATGAAAAATAAAATTAATATTTTATAAAAATTGTAAATTCTCTTAATAAAAAAATGATATTTTTTTTTAAATTATGTTTTACAATAAGAACTGACAAAGTATATTTAATCTTAATTTTAAAATAATAAGTTATCCATCTTGGTGGTATCCATTCAAACATGTTTAAAGAACCAACTGAGAAAGGACGGATTACTAAAAAGATATAATATTTTCTCCATTGAAAAATAAAACTCAAGATAAGACTTAAATATATTTTGTCTATGTAATTCATCAGTTTCGTCCTTGTAAAAATAAAAAAAAAATCTAGAAAAGTCCCTGTAAAAATTGTCCGTCTCTTTTTCTTTTCTTTTTTTCTTCCTTTTTTTAATTCTTTGTGGTGATGAGACACCAAACCAATCGAATTTCAGGACACATTAACTTACGTGGCACAAAAGCTTTTTAAAGAAAAAACAAATAAAATAAACGTGATTTAAATTAATTTTAAAATGTTAATATTAATAAACATAAAAGTGACACTGGTTGAGGGGTATGCACAGTCTTCATTTGAAAATTCAACATATACAAATCTATCACACGTTTGTTGATGCCACGTTAGCCTTTGTTTGCCACGTCGGTTAACTTTTTTTTTTTTTATTATTATTATAAAAACGGATGTTAAAGCAAGGATGGAATAAGAGACAGACAATATTCACAGGAACCTTTGTAGATTTTTTTTTTGCAAGACAATAAGTAACTAAATTGTAGAGAGAAACAATATATTTTTGCTTAAAAATATTTGTCTATTTGATTAATTGTTAAGTGATAATTGACTGACCTGATAATAATATTATTTATTATTCATAATTGTGACTTAAAGAGATTGACATGTTTGAATATTTTTTTTATAAACACTTCTAAAAGAAAAAAAAAACACTTATCCATAAGTTTAATTTATCTTATCCATAAATTATTCCGTAAAACTTCCCATATAACTTCTTTTAAAAATTAAAAATGAGTTTATGCATGATCTAATTTTAATTTGTGAAAAATATTATTTCATTTTTTCTTCATATTTTGTATCCCTATTAAAGACGTTTATTCAAAAAAAAATTATAATTAATAAATAAAAATGACATTATTCATTATCCATAAGTTAGAAATTAATTTTTAAAGAAACTATATTTTTTTTTGTTGAAAATTTACTTATAAATGAACTAATTTTAACTTCCAAAATAATTTATTTCATTTTTATTTTTACCTTTTATTTTCTTCTAAAAATACTTATGAAGGTTACTCAAATGTTATAAAATAATATGCAATTTAAACTAAATAAATGAAGAGTAAGTTGCAATTAGTTCAATTTGATATTTAATTAATAATGTATGATGTAGAGTACCTCCTTAAGGAAAGACAGCCCTTAGGCGTGAATTGGAAGTTTAGTTCTCTAATCTACATGTAGAGTTATACCGAACAATTCAATATAGATCTCACACATGTCATTTTCAAACAAGAAAGCTGATATAAGTATTTTACTCAAGCAAAATTTATATAAACTCATTGTTTTTTTACATAACCAACAACGTAGGCAACACTATGAATTTGTAATTTCTAGATTCCCATGTAAATTGTATAGTTCCTAAAGCTTGGCGAATGTTTGACTTCCGGCTTAGACACGTTTCAAAGGAAAACCAAATCTTAAACTATGTTTGAAAGGCAGAAGAATGGAAGGTGGGGGGAAGAATTGTACCCTCACTTGCATTCTTTCCAGTTTGATATCACATTATCACTTAAAATGTTTAGAGGAAGGAAGAGATTTTTGAGACCCACTCACATTTTGTCCTTCGAAATTGGATGAAAAACCCATAGAAAAGAGGTTTTGGTAATTAAGACTAAATTACTGTTATACTTATACTAACATAATTATATAAAATAAAATAAAAATTAGTCTTAACTTTTACATTAAAAAAAATCATCTAATTTTCAACTCATTTTATTAAAGATAATTATCATTTTATCATACAAAAAACCATCTAATTTAACTTTCTTCCATGTTCTTTTATATAAAAGAAAACGTACAAAATCATCTAATTTTCAACTCATTTTCTTTTCATTCTCTCTTTCCATTACTTACTCCCTAAACCCCAAACGTGTCGTTAGTATACTGAGAACTCAGGATCCGAATACATTTTCTGATATACATGTTCTCTCTTAAATACTCTGCTTGATTTAATTTTCTGATGTACTTTGGTTTTCACAATTGAAGTTGAATACAATATATCCTATTATTTCACCATTTTTCTGGTCCGCATCAAATGCTAATATGCATCTCAACACCAGGTAAAGCAAATTAAAAAAACAATTGAAAACATCACAAAACTTAACAACCAATACAAATTTATGTTTTATGGAACCATGTCTCACTTAATTCAAAATTTGCTTCACTAACCATATCTATTCTCAAAGCAAAAATATAACAGCTTAACGCTTCTTAGAGACACCAACAGTTTTACCCCTGCGACCAGTAGTCTTAGTGTGCTGGCCTCGAACACGAAGGCCCCAGTAGTGCCTCAAACCACGGTGATTTCTGCATAATAGTATGAATACAAGATGTTAGTGTTATTACCTAATATGCACATAAAATGACAAGAACACACAACTTGACATAGACACCATATTCAAAAATTCCAGAAATGTCACATGGTCATGTCTGTTGACATTTTCTACATAATTTGCTTGAGGTATATATATATATATATTTTTCAAAAGGAACTTTATATCTTATTGCTCATCAGGTATTCACACATGTTTTCATATTAATATGATATTGTCCGACTTAAACATCTTATAAATTTACTTTTGGTCGTCACCTTAAAAGCTTCATACCAATGGAGTATTGTGTGTTTTATGAATCTATGTTTCTCCTCCTTTCCTAATGATATCGGATTTTGTTTGTATCCCAACAAAAACTAGTATATACAAGAACACCAAAACAATCATGCTTAATAGGTTATTTTTACAACAGCCACATAATTATATCAATCAGTCAATGCACCAGCTATTTTCCAGACCTTGAATAGCATGAAGTTAATTACACAATTGAGAAAGAGAAACACATGCATCCCATATCACAACATGAATGCCCTATCCAAGATCACTATTTGTATATTCAATAATCATAATGAGTTCTTGGCACTATGATCAATAGTACATATGTTATTACTAATACTTGGTAACAATCAGCAAAGTGCTATATTTAAATACTTTCCTCAAAGAATAAACTTCTGTCAGTATTAGACAAACTAAATACTGCATTGCATCAAGTATATGAGAATCATTCTTCATTATGATATGATATCAAAAGGATAGGCAGACAATCAGAACATCAAGACAAGAAAAGGAGATGGTCGACAACATAGATCCAAATTAAAATGGAAACAGAGAACACTGTCCCAATGATTCATCACATATTTTATCAGAAAAACAACTCATCTCATGACACATCATTCAGCCCACGTATCAATTGGAGGATCTTGAGCTGCTCTACATATACAATTTGTAAATTTTAGGGATAGATCTATAATAGTCAACTAGGCTTTCTCAACACCAGTTTGATTTGAACAAAAAGAACATGATTCAGCACTAATGGTTACCACCAGAACCTTGTAGAAACTATTAAGGTGCATAATTCTCAAGGATACTGCAATTCCCTATCCAATGATAAATCACTCCTTCAAATAGAAAAACTTCATCAAGTGATGTTTTAATTCTATAAAAAAATTCAACACCAAGATACGAATATGAATCACCTGATTTTCTTCAAGCGCTCCAAATCATCCCTCAACTTCATATCCAGAGCATTGGACACCACCTGAGAATATTTGCCATCCTTGTAATCCTTCTTCCTATTCAAAAACCAATCTGGGATCTTGAATTGCCTAGGGTTGGCAACCACAGTCATAAGATTATCCAACTCAGCAGCAGTCAATTCACCAGCTCTGTAAACAAAACAGAAATTCATTAAAAATAAAATCAATGACTCATTCAATTAAAGTATGAAATTAAATTAAAATACAAAGCCCATTTCAACAAAAACCATTAAATTAAAGTAAAATAAAAACACATTTCAATAACATCCATCAAATTAAGATGATTAAATTCATTTCAATAAAAACCATCAAATTATAATAAAAGTATAAAACAAAACAAAAACAATTGGTGTTATTCTCTGATCTAAATATTTAAATTTGCTTTTTCTCTAATCAGAATTGTTTTATATCGTAATCTTCATATCAAAATTTGTAATCAGCACAAGTGATCGATAAAATTCCAATTATGATATAAGAACAACACCAAAAAGCACTTAAATCCGGCAAAAGCAAAAAAAAAGACGAATGTTTCACGAGACCAAACCTCTTGTTCATGTCGACATCGGCTTTTTTGCAGCAAATGTTAGCGAATCGCCTGCCAATACCTTTGATAGAGGTAAGAGCGAACATTATGTTCTGCTTCCCATCTACATTGGTGTTCAGCACACGCAGAATGTGCTGAAAATCCTCGTTTGCCACCAGAGACTGCAATCACAAAACCCTATTTAAAATTTCCAAAAGAGAAAAAAAACATTTTTTGAAGAATGCCCGCATAACAAATCAAAGCAGAAACATCAAAATCGTACCATTATTTTATGAGATCGCTTCCGAAGCTCTTGACCCGATTAGGGATTAGAGATTCTAGGGTTTCCGCGCTCTGTATCTCCGTGTTGTGGCTCCTCTCTCTCACTCACTGCTTTAATCAGTTTAGGGTTTTCACTTTTCATAGGGAGAAAGAACTGGAGTGACGATTTTGCCCCTTGAACAAGCCCATTGCATGCTTATTTTTTTAATTTTAATTTATTTACTTTTAAATTTAAATTAATTAAATATTTTTTCTCTGTTAATTTTTGTTTTATTTAATTTAAAATCTTCATATTCTTATCTTGTATTCATATATTTGAATGTTTGCCATGCATTCGAGAAAAGAAGTCAACTCTTACTTGGAATGTTTGATAGAAGAAATTTATTTTATAGATTTTTGAAAATATTTATAAATTTTATTTAAAAATTATAGAATTTTATTATTAATTAAGGTAATGTAATATTTTTAGTGTTATAAAATATTCCTTTTCATTCATGGATGTAGATTCTCATGAATTTAATTTGGTGAGAAATTTGCATAAAAAATATTCTCAAAAAAATATTTTTTTAGGAATATTATTTTTAAGATGATAAATAAATGCAAGATAGTAAAAAAAATTTATATATCCATATATTAAAAATGAACGAATATATTATCTCATTGCATTTATAAAAAAAATTTCTAACTTTTTATCTATTTCAAATTTTATTTATTATATTTATTTATAAGTTAAATTTTAATAATTTTAAAAATAAATGAACCTTTATATATTAAATAAAACATGTGCGTGTTAGTTATCATATTTTTAGAAATTCTTCTAATTTCTATTTTAAAAAAAATTTATTTATCATATTTATTACTAAATAATTTTTTATAATTTTAAAATAAATTATCAATAGTTAAAAATAATTTTGTTCCACAATATAAACTATATAACATAAATATAAAATTTAATTTATATATTCATCCTTATATATTAAATACAAACAACTATTTTACACTAAGGATTTTTTTTCCACAAAAATATTTTAGAAGATTTTTTTAACTTCTTATCTAATTCAATTTTTGTATGTATCATATTTATTTATAAAATAAAATTTAATGTTTAAAATAAATTGTTCATATTTGACTATAATATTGTCACAATATAAAATATTTATCATATTTAAAATATAATAATAATCCTTTTACTTTAAGAATAAGTCTACCTAGATTTATTATGTTCAATAACTCATGTTCTACATCAAATTTCAACGATCCAATCGTTCAATTTAAAGTTCTTAATGCATAGATCAAATCTGCAAATTTTTAGAAAATTTGAAAATCATTAAATACTTCATTTCATTAATTCAAATCAATGTATAAAATGATTTTATGATTATCCGTCAATTTTAATTAATTAAATGAAGTATCAAATAATTTTCAAATTTTCTAAAAATTGCAGATTTAATCTATGTATTAAGAACTTTAAATTCAACGGTTTGATTATTGAAATTTAATGTAAAACATGAGTTATTTATTGAACGGAGTAAATCTAGGTAGACTTGCTCCTATAGTAAAAGGATTCCTCTCTCTCTTTATATATATATATATATATAAAACTTATTATAAATTTTAGTTATGTACAATAAATTTATACTAGTAATTTAAAAGTTGGAAGTTAAAAATTTAGTAAAGATTAAGGGTATGTATAATGTATTGGATTAGGATTTTATTATAAAAAAATTTTGTGGTATTTAATAAAAAAATAATATAAAATTATTATGCAGTATTTGAGATTTTTTTAAGAATACATTAAAATTTGATGGTATTCAATTAAGATAATTAAAAAATTAGTAATCAAAAAGTTGGTTATGCATAGAATATCAAATGTGTAATTATATCTTGAGGTGTATCAGATGATGTTGTGTAATTGTTGTATTTAAATTACGAACATGTGTAATCATTGTACTACTTAAAGTTGATAATTGGTTGTGGTGTGAGTATTCTATTGATATGATATTTTGTGAGTTATGTATGAATTAATTTATGTGTTTTGACATTGATACAGTTGATGTGTATGAATCATGTGATGGTCATATGATGAGAAGTTTACGTGAAACTTAGCCATGATATAATATGATAAGACGTGTGATATGTGAATTAATGAGATCGTGTGAAATGTTATGCATAGAGTTTGTTTGACATATATCATATGCATAAAAGTGTTTTTAAAGATATGATGTGAAATACACCACCAAAAAAGTCTCCTCGTGTGAAAGCTTAAGAATCATAAACAATTCAAACTAGTGTGTACTTCCACTCCTAACGGGTGCATAGTGCAATGTCTAAAATATATTTCCTAAAATTTAAAATTTCTTAGAAGCAAAGGTTTTAGTGCGTGAAATTTCAAGAACTTATATTTTTTTTAGTAAAACAATGAATGTTTTTGGTCTATTATTGAGAATATAACATTAGGTTTGAACTATTTCCTCCTTGGCCATCTTGTTCCTATCTAACCTACACCCATGGAAATCAATCTTGACTCAGAATATCAAAGGTTTTCTTTCTAAAGTCAAGAGGTTTGGTGAAAGCTGCTTATATGATATTATCAACACTACTTAGGTGATTTTTTTTTCATGGTCACATAGGGATTAGTTGGTTTGTATGAGATATGTTTCTCATTGGTTAATAGAAGGAATTTAAAGTATAGAACCACTCTCCGACGAGACAATCAAAATGGTGACGTGACAAGAAAGAATTAAATTAAATCGTTAATGACATAGTTCGTGCTTCAAGATTTAAATATTATATGTGCCTGTTAGCTATACCCGCCTATTTCTATACACGGTAATCATTGCTTGAACTCGTGTTTAGGAAAGAAAGATGGAATAACAATCAAGTTTCTGACTTAATAACAGAAACTGGCAGAATGAGAAGGTTTACTTTAATTGCAAACCATTAAGCTCCTAAACATAAAAAAGTCAAGTTTTCTACAAACCTAGAGATGAAATTTGTTAAAGGCTAAGATGGATTTTACACATGGTTTCGTATCAGATAGAAATAGAAAAGCCCAAATCCTTCGCAGCAGTGTTAAGATATTCAATAGACAATCCATTTGAAAGCCGGCTGTGAGCTTCCCATGTCAAACATTTTTCTATGTGAGTTTGCTGGTCAATGAGATCCAAATTGAAGTACTGATTATGGGTGCCATTCTTTTGCTGTGGCTTAGGACTCGATCTAATTGAACTAGTTTGCCAAATGTCACGCAAAACTGAAGTGCTGAGAGCACGGACATGTGCACTTGGATGAGAAAGGCATCTGATTGTAGCTGGAAGGCGACACTGCATGTGTATATGCACAAGGATATTGGTCAAATTTTATATTTAAACTACAGAACATGCATATGGCTACAATTTAGAAGTGCTCATGCAAGGGTTTTGTTGTCCTTTTTGTTATTATTTTGCCGTATCTATTGATTTTGATTGGTTTTGACTTGTGATCAGATATACTTCATGAAAAAAATACTCTCAACTACGCAGTTTGCAATTTAGAATCAGATTTTCGAAGGTCAGCTAAAAAATTTTCTAACTTCATTCAAATTAGAAATTCAAATGAGGGAAATTTGTTTACCTTTAACAGGTTTGAAAGGCTATCTGCCACTGCAAATCCAGATTCTCCCAACTCGATGACTGGCTGAACTGCTTTAGCAGTAGCTTCCAATAGCTGGCCCGTTTTACCAAAATTCGAAATATGAATATCAGAAAGTGTAAGAATAAACCTGAAAACATATGAAATACCAAATCCTCCTTTAAAGTATCACAAAGTCATTGCTCAATGTTTTATAATTGGGACTTGATTTATGGCAGTGGCAATTTCTTTAGGTTACTAGTCAGAAAGATTTGAATTAAAAGGGAACAAAAAGCAGTTGTGTTATACTTGAGCACAATTTCACACTAGGTTGCCCAAATTTATTTCCTTATATTTCCATACGAAGTCTCCCATATAGCTTATAAATTTCATTGTTATTTTAATTCTAGGGAAAACAGACACATATGTGTATATATATTGGCTGCTCCAAAATCGATATTTTCTCATATTAATAAATGAAGAAGGAACAAGGGATTGCTGAATAGATATGCAGGTGTAACATTTGTCTCCAAACAAATCATTTGATATGCATATATCTTCATCAAAGAGAATTAAATATAAAATGTTTAAGGAGCCAAATTAAAGATTAAATAACATATATTAAGTAAATTATAGAAGAACACTCCTGTCTTTTATTTTGAAAAAGTCTTTATATTGACATGTGGACATTAATTGAAGACAGGTTTCTGGTTGAAAGACATTGAAACTTTTAAAGTTCATAGTGAAGCTAATGTTTGAACTTGTTACCTTTAGTTGTGGTAATGTGCAAGCTTCTCCATCTACTAGCATTCCATCTGTGGCTCGCAGTAGTAAATCTGATGCACTTGCCACAATTACTAATGATTCTAAACTATCATGATTCCTCATTAGTTCAATTATCAATTTTGTAATACGCTGATTGATTCTCCACATCTTCTGGCTTAGACTGTCATCTTTAGTAATCCATGGCTGCAATTCCTTCTCAGCCTGACAAGCAACAAATCAAGGAATAAGAATGAAATATTTTTTTTTTTATAAAAAAAAAAAGGAAGCTGATTTGGAACACTGGTTAGATGAGTTTTTTTCAAATCAGATATTTGAACTTTATATACATCAAAAGCAGAGTCATTATTTATGCAACTATTTCATAGGTATTACATATGGTAATTCAAAATTATTGTAGTCTGTCCCAAAAATGCTAGCAATCTTGGCTAAATAAAATAGGTATTCTAGTCCATACCCAGAGTCATTATTTATGCAACTATTTCATAAAAAGACAAAAATGGACCTGAAGAACAATTGCTGTAGCTGCTTTCACAGGTGATGCAGATACAACCTTGCATAATGCATCAACCACCTACATCACATTAAATCACTTAATGATTAATAATGAACCTTTTCCAAGGAAAATAGGGATATAATTGTGGTATTTTAATCCACACAAACATATGGCACATACATATAGATGTTTATATTTTTGGAGGAATATGCATTTGAGAAAAAATTGAGTTGTGTTGCACACTAAGAGGTGTATTGGATTGAGA